AGGAGAGTAATCTTCTCTTACCTGTTCAATCACCTCTCAAGTCAGCCTGACTTTCAACCAGTTCATTCTACAGTGTGCACTACTTCATGGGGTCAGTGTCTACTTTCTGATACTGACAATGGATCCCTCATTCTTCTTATCCTGCTTGGTATCAGTACCATTTTTAATACCATTAATACTCTATCCTTCTTGAGTGCTTTCAGTAAAAAGGCGGTGTCTCCAATACTCCCCTTTTTGCCTGGAATCCTACTTTCTATCTATTCTTCCTTCATTTCTGGTGGAGGCTGTTTGCCTTGCCCTCATCCTTTCTACTACAAATAGTTAAATTGATGGTCCATTTCCCCATATAATGACATAGTCAGGGACATTTCACTGGAACCTTCAATGTTGGACAAAACTCTTATGATGACAACAGCCAGCTCTGTATCAACTTCAGCTCACTCTCCAGTTGTCCTATTTCCCATCAAACCGCCTGCCTGGACTCTGACCAAGACAGATTACATCTTGATTTCTTGTAACAAATACACTTCTTTGCTCTCTTCCACGTCTCTGTTATCACTCTGCTTAACTTAACCTCAATGACAGAAAAACTGAATTGTCCTGCATCTCATGCTGTCTCTTCCATTCCATAAATCACTTGTCTGTAAAGATGCCTTATCATCATCTCTGGAACTTTAGCAGACTTCATCCTTACCCTAACCCTTCCAACAGCAAGCTCATTACTTTATCTCTTGTTTCAACCACTGCAATTCCTTTTTCTATAGTCCTCCTACACCCAATGCTTTGTAAACTTCAGAGAGTTCCTACTCTCAATTACCTTCACTGGTTTCCAAACCACCTTTTAAATTATTCAAAATCACTCTTATGGTTTTCCATATATTTGCTTCTACTATACCACTCTGATTTTCTATCCACTTACACATTTGCTATCTCACTCTACTCCTTCAGTATTTAACTTCATAATCCCTGCCTGCAACTCAACACAGTTTGAAATTACATCTTTTATTTGTGAGGCCTTGTCTATTAGGAATTCATCTTTTCCATCTTCCAAGCTTCTGAATAATTCCTCTAATTAATTCTCATCATATATCTTAGTTTATAAGATCTCTGTGTAAAAATGTATTGTGATGCTATATATTAAAGAAATTACATACAGATAAAATGTACTATAATGTACCTTGGCTGCATACTGCTCCAAAGCACTGATGGTATCTGGATCAATTGTAGCATCTCCTGTATGAAGGCCTGCTACTGTGCCATCAGCTTGAATAGCTAAGATGGTATCTGACTGTGGCATTTGAACTGTATGGTGAATGTAAGCAGTGGTTCCATCTTCCAGCTGGACTGCCTGTAATGCACTCTGGTCATAACTGTCTAAGAAATAATATTAAAAACACTTAAGACAGGGAATGAACATAAGAATCTGCATTTCTCCAATATAAAGGAATCACATATGTGAAATTATCAATACACATTAAAATGCTACTGATGAATACAATAGTTTAGAAAATTGCTATCAATACCACAGGTTGAATTTGTTGTAAATGATTACTTACCCCAAAACACTTCTATTTCTGTCCACTTATAAACAGCATTACAATTTGCCTAGCTCTTACTTACAAAGTATTACACCATACACTTTGAAATTTCTACTCTCTAGTGATCAATTAATTGTTGATACTGTCAGTTTTAGGATTTGTATACCTGCTTCCTGTACACTAAGAACCCAAGCATCCTTTCAACGGCTAAAGCAATGTTTTGCCATTACTTTAAAATTACATAAAGGTTTAAACACTTTGCATATGGCATTGTTTACAGAAATGAGTAATCTGTGGGAAACTAATAAGCAACCACAACACTAATTTCAATATTAAGCTCATATAAAGATGTAGGGCTTGAAACATTAACCCAACATCTACTAGCCTGAGAAGTAAGTCTTCCAACCAGGGTGAAAATACCTGTGCTGTCACTCCCCTCAAAGTCATTGTGACACACAGTCCCATTGGGGATTCACTACTCTGTGTCAGCAACTCTTGTTAGGCCTGACATACTCACTACACCTAAAATTGCTGTGATGATATATACCCAAACATCATGTAATACATCATTGGAAAACTAATAACTCACTGATTATTAATCTTCTTGTGTGATGTAAAGAGTTATAAATATGTGTTAGAATTATGTTCTTAAAAGGCGTTTGGCAACCAATGCATAAGCACTGTCTACCTTAGACAAAGGAACGTGTATTTGCTTGTCTGACCAGCCTGGTCGCCAGGCAGAGACAATGAAGGCACATTTATATAAAAAGTAAAAAAAGCCATTAAATTAACGAGTGTGGGAGAAAGCCTCTTAACTATAAAGACAGCGGGATCTGAACCTCAAATATAAGCAATTGAATCAGCTGATTGTATACAATATTACTGTATTATAAACATGTATTGAGTAAGAGGTTTTATGAAAGCCTGTGACACACTAGTGATTAATATCAATGTAAAATGTATGCATTAACACTATATAATGAATTATAGATATGTGATGTTGCACCCTATAATGCTTTATAGAAATATGCATATGAGTGTAAATATGACTTAACTGGAATATGTTTTATGCTAGATATGCCATGTAACATATCTCTGCAAAGGTTATGATCTACTTATATATTCATCCTATTTACATGCATGTATCATTTTTGCATTCAAAGTTAAGTACATAGCCAATATTCATGTTTGATTCTAAGTAGCCTCAGTAAGCAGTTGGTCAGCTTCTTGAGAAAAGACTATTCTCAGTAAGTGCCCAATCAAGAAACACTTAAGCTAACAATGAACTTTGAGAGACGCCAATCCACATCTGAGCTTTCCTGGGAACGTGACATCAGCCTGTAAAGTTCTGAGTCATGCATGGACGTGTGACTTGCCCATGTGACTCCAAAACTCCATCTTGCAACTGGATTCTGCATAGGAGAGGAGAAGGGGTTTGCACCCACAAGAGAAAGTCTATTTAAACCCCTGGAAACCCCTCCATTTTGTCTTCAGCTGGCTCAACCCCAAAGGATACCTGAAAGAAACTGGAACAAAGGACAGTAACTACAGGGGTGTGCGTGTTTGCTGAACCCAGACTAGAAGGAGGCTAGTCTGTAAAAGAGGCTTATTGGAACATCTCTGAGGGTGAGATTTACTTGCATTTAGTTTTTTACTGTATTAGGCTTAGACTTGCTGTTTTATTTTATTTTGCTTGGTAATTCACTTTGTTTTGTCTGTTATTACTTGGAACCACTTAAATCCTACTTTTTGTTTTTAATAAAATCACTTTTTACTTATTAATTAACCCAGAGTAAGTATTAATACCGGGGGGGGGGGGCAAATAGCTGTGCATATCTCTCTATCAGTATTATAGAGAGCGAAGAATTTATGAGTTTACCCTGTATACGCTTTATACAGCGTAAAACAGATTTATTTGGGGTTTGGACCCCATTAGGAGCTGGGTATCTGAGTGTTGGAGACAGGAGCAATTCTTAAGCTGTTTTCAGTTAAGCCTGCAGCTGTTGGGGGACGTGGTTCAAACCTGAATCTGTGTTTGCAGCAGGCAAGAGTGTCTGGCTCAAACAAGGTAAGGTACTGAAGTCCCAAGCTGCCAGAGAAAATGGGCTCAGAGGTAGTCCCAGCACATCATGTGGCAGTCCCAAGGGGGTTTCTGTGACCTAACCCGTCACAAGATACTCACTGTTCTTATGTTTTAAAAAAGTCTGTGACCACACACAGGGAGAAACAGGTTTTCTCCCAGACAGGAGGGAAGGCAGCTACCTACTTGTCTCTAATGTAAATTAAGCAGTGTGGAATAAAAACAACGGAAGCCCAATTTCCCTACAAATCAGCAGGGGGGATGGAGACTGCACCCCTGGAAAGCCTTCCTGCTTTGTGAAGAAGGGCCAATGAAATTTGGGAAGATAGCATCGTGTCTAAATCCCAGCAGGACTTACTTTCCAAAGAATACATTTCAAAGGTTTACTGGACTATAAAAGGAAAGGGGGAAAGAACCCCATAGCGGTCCATCACTTGGCGGATTCAAGGGGCCTGGGCTCTTGAAATCACAGAATCTTGAGTCCTTCAACCAAGAGGGTTGAGGTCTCTGGGAACTCAATATTGGTGACAATCCTGCTTAGGCAAGAATTAAAAGTTAACTTTAGCAAGTACCAGTCTCTGAAGTGTATTTTTACTTTTGTTTGTTTGTAACCATTTCTGTCTTTATTCCTTATACTTGATATCACTTAAACCTATGACTTTTTGGTTAATAAGCTTGTTTGACTTTTACTTTAAATCAATTCTGTGCTGTGACTGAAATAAGAGAGTTTGTCAAACTGCGGTGAAATTAATGAACTGCTGTTTATTCTCTCTTGGCAGCAGCAACAAACTTAACTTCTGTGAGTGTTCCAGAAGAGAGCTGGACACTGCAGGGAGATGTCTCAGGGAAATTCACGAGTTGGGGTTCACTGTTACTCGTAAGGCAAAGTTTGGACCGGCAGAGTCCTGAGGAGTTTGCTGGCAAAGCAGACAAGCTGATGTGGCAGGGGAATTGTCACACAGCTTAGCAGTAGCAAAACTCTCACTTGCTGAGGCTCAGAAGGGTAACACAGTGACTCACAATTCTGGGAGCCTCAGCAAATTATCACACAGGGAGACGGTTTTCGAGTAAATTTGGGACTGGGAGGGTGTTTGGGTCACTGCAAAAATAACTGGGTGGTGGAAGCCAGGGTGTGACCTGGATGCTTGTAAGGCTGGCTATTGGTGTCAGGGCTGTGAGCCACAGGAGCATAGCACTGAAAGCACACAGAGTTGCAGGGCAGGTTGTGTTACAACCACTCATTGGTCTGGGTTAAAATGTCACACCCACAAAGCAATTTAAAGGTATAAAAGTACTGTATACTATGTACTATATGTAAATCACACAGATAACTAACTTCCATAGATTCAGAGTTTTTAGTAGCAAAGTGAAACTAGCAAGACTCTGGTAAATTTTAACTCTGGTGTATCTTGGGAAAGCCATAAGCAACAGCAGAGGCACAGCTATCTGCACACTAAAGAAGCCAGCAAATCATCCGTTTATACTCAATCCGTATTTTTTTCTTCACAACCATAAGGTCTAGAAATAGTCACTCTCCTGTGTCAGATTTGGAAAGTATACTAATACAGGAAGGTACGACGTCTAATGTGATAATGAAGGAGAGGGAAAATTGTACATTGTCCAAGTCCTTTGGTGAAGTACACCAGTACTACTTTATTTTTCCCTTCTTTTGAAGGCCAATCTAATGCTTATTTTAAAATAAAATAAATGTGCATACTTGACTGTCAATTATGGGTGCTCTTTGTGTGTTACACTGATAGGTCTTCCAAAAAGTACCAAATCTCACTCACAAATATTTAAAATATCCCTAGAGCTCAAGAATCTAATTCAAGTGATGTCTGCTTTTTTCTGTTTCCTTTTTTCATTTCCAGATCCAGTCTTTCCTGAAATTAATACAAGGGTTTAAATTCTCTAGAAGTAGCATGCCTGTTTCTTTGTTAAGATTCCAGGATAGCACACTGAAATGCCCAGCAATCTTCTGATCCAGCCATTCACTACTACATTCTGAATGGGAAATCAAACCATGCTCAACTCAGCTGTATCTAGATGTTCCTATTTTAATGCACCAAGTCATTTACAATAAGAATACTTGTAAATATGGTCATAATCTAAACATATTGTCAGAAGTGGTACTCTAGAAGATAAATGACAATTAAAATGTTTCATAATATAATGAATCACACTTCAAAATGCAGTTTACCTTTTGAAGCATGATGAATAAATGCAGTAGTTCCATCTTCCAGCTGAACTGCCTGTCCATCTTCCAGGCGCAGACTGTCCCCTGTTGGGGGGAGGGGAAGGGGAGAGAGAGAGAGAGAGAGAGAGAAGCATAACTTTAGGCATGACCAATCATGAATGTATTTGATCCACATCCAATAAAATAAAAGTATATGTATTAGACATCTGAAATTATTGTAACAATGTTTTATAGATTCTAACAATACCATATTATATCAATTCAATCAATATTTTAAAACATATTCATGGATGTAATACACTTACTACTTTTTGGCATGGATACATGTTGAACATAGGCAGCAGAGCCATCTTCTAGTTGAATCACCTGGCCATCCATTAATTTACCATCTGGAATACATTATATTTATGTAAAGTATCCTATATGACACATCACATTTTAAACCATACCACTGAAACTCTCTGGAATAAAAGTATTTAATAGAACAAAAATACACTTTAACAAGTATTAACCACAGTATTAGGACATGTAAAGTGCTTTGAGATCCTGGGATAAAAACACTAAATAAAGGGCAAAGTGTTGTTATTACAAACACACCAAATTTAGAAAACTAAATTTTTCAGGCTTTTCAATATGTAGGATGTCAATATTTAGTATCGAACTTTAAAGACAGGCCATCTCTTTTTCAGTTGACTTCCCTGTTCTGTAATTAGTATTGGTTTTTGTACTGGTACTAGCATAAGTAAATATTTAATTTATAGTAGCACTCAAAGACCCTAGTTGGGATCAGATCCCCATTGCACTGGGTGCTATACAAACAAGCAAATGAATACACTGAATACTCTGAAGCACCTGGCATTAGCCACTGTCGGAAGACAGGATACTGGGCTAGATGGACCTTTGGTCTGACCCAGTACGGCCATTCTTATGTACAGTGAAGAATTACTGATTTTTAGTCAGGCACATACCTTTAGAATTGTGCTGTATGTAAGCAGTGGAGCCATCAGCAAGCGTAACTGCCTGCAAACTTACACCTTCCATGTTTTCTAAATTGTCACCATCTATTGGGGAAAGACGTTTATTTAAAGTATTGCCAACTTCATACGCTCTAAAATCGTGAGTCAAGCCCCAAAAAAATCATGAGATTGACTTAAAACCTTTTTATTAGCCTTTTGATTTTGAACCTTTAGCATACATTGAGGTCACATTGTTAATTTTTTATCCATAAGCATGAGAACTAAAATGTTTTATTTTAAATAAAAGTTGAAATTCTCATGAAATAAAATGGCTTAAGAACTGGGGCTTTAAGAAGAACACCTAACATCAAAGACTCACAATAAAATCATGAGAAATGGCAGTATTACATGCACGTAATGTTAATCATTGTTCTGTGCACCATCAATCATTAAGACATACAAGACCATTTTGAATAAAATATAGTAATTAGGCAAAAAGTTGTATACTTTTATAAATATTAAGCATGACTCAAAAAGCATCAACATGTTAATTTCAGTCCTAAAACACCATTCTTTCTGTAAATCTGAGTCTATGTAATTCAATTTATATGTAAATGATGTACAAAATGATCTAAAATCGTAATGCTATATTTTAATTTGATTGGAACCAAATTTTATACTGCAAACGCAATCGTTATTTTAATTAAGCAATAATTTCATTTCAGAATTAAATCAAATTTCAGATTAATCAAATATACTATCTAAAAACAATTTGGTCTTTTTATTATTTTCTCCATTTGCAATACACAACATCACTCCAAAGTTTAGAAGTTCAACATGGTACATAGTCTGCTTTTTCTGAATGCAAAACTGCAAACTGCATGATGATGTGGCGATACTTTAACCTGAATGCTCACCTTGCACAGCTACTGCTTCTGTCAAACAGAGAGTTACATGCTGAGCCTCCATCCCTCCTCCAGAAAACTCAGTCATTCCCTGAGAGTCTCGATTTATCTGGGCTAATAACATGGTTTATCTAGAAACAAATAGCAAGTTTACAAAACATAAGGACTCGGAACCATAAGAAGTAACATTAAGAAATTATGTGAAATTTTATTCCATTTTCTGGATGACGCACAAATCCTAGAGGTTAAAAACAATCCTACTTTAACCAGAATTTCACTTAGCATGTTACGGACATTTTGTCTTACCTACCTCATAGAGATGGTACAAATATTTATTAATTTCAGGAAAATGCTTAGAAGATGAAAAAAAGGGCTATATGAAATGGCCAACTATTATTTTCATGAATTTTATCACAGAGTAATTGCTAGATTTTAGGTGGGTCTGACTCTATTTATACTTCAATTAAACTTTAGGAATTATACCACTAATTAAGGCTTACTATGCTATAAAAAGTATTTGGGCCAGTTTACACTGTACTATAATTTCTTTTCAGACTTAAAAACAACAACTTTAACAAATCACACATGGTCATATGGAGAACTCCTTGTGAGTCCTATTAAAGTTAATGGGACTACCCATGCAAGTAACTGCTCAACGGTAAGATTAAGCCCTGGTCTATACTATGTGTTTAGGTCGAATTTAGCATCCTTAGATCGCTTTAACCCTGCACCTGTCCACACAACGAAGCCATTTTGTCGACTTAAAGGGCGCTTAAAATCGATTTCTGTACTCCTCCCTGACGAGGGGATTAGCGCTGAAATCGACATCACTGGGTCGAATTTGGGGTAGTGTGGACGCAATTTGATGGTATTGGCCTCCGGGAGCTATCCCACAGTGCTCCATTGTGACCGCTCTGGACAGCACTTTCAACGCAGATGCACTGGCCAGGTACACAGGAAAAGCCCCAGGAACTTTTGAATTTCATTTCCTGTTTGGTCAGTGTGGCAAGCTGATCAGCACAGGTGACTGTGCAGATCTCATCAGCAGAGGTGTCCATGGAGTCCCAGAATTGCAAAAGAGCTCCTGCATGGACCGAGCAGGAGGTACTGGATCTGATTGCTGTATGGGGAGATGAATCTGTGCTATCTGAACTCCGTTCCAAAAGACGAAATGCCAGAATATTTGAAAAAAAATCTCCAAAGGCATGAAGGAAAGAGGCTATAACAGGGACCCGCAGCAGTGCTGCATGAAACTTAAGGAGTTGAGGCAATCCTACCAAAAAACCAAAGAGGCAAACGGCCGCTCTCGGTCAGACACCCAGATATGCCGCTTCTATGATGAGCTGCATGCAATTCTAGGGGGTGCCCCCAACACTACCCCACCCCTGTTCCTGGACTCCTGCAAGGGGGGAGTCACACACAACAGGGATGAGGATTTTGGGGACAAGGATGATGCTGATGAGGAGGAGGTTGAAGATAGCGCACAGCAAGCAAGCGGAGAAACCGTTCTCCCCAACAGCCAGGAACTGTTTATCACCCTGGAGCCAATATCCTACCAACCCAGGCTCCTGGACCTTGAATGCGGAGAAGGGACCTCTGATGAGTGTACCTTTGTAAATATAATACATGGTTTGGCATGTTCTGGCTCTGCATATACTCCAGGACAATGCACGTGGTGTTCATAGTGCTCATAATTGCTGCGGTGATCTGAGCGGGCTCCATGATCCCAGTGCTATGGCGTCTGGGCTGAAAAAAGGCGCGAAACTATTGTCTGACGGAGGGAGGGAGGGGCGAGTGACGACATGGCTTACAGGGAATTAAAATCAACAAAGGTGGCTGTGCATCAGGGAGAAACACAAACAACTGTCACACAGAATGGCCCCCCCCCAAAGATTGAACTCAAAACCCTGGGTTTAGCAGACCGTTGATTTCACGGAGGGAGGGGGAAGCAAATGAATACAGAACAAATCTGGTCCATCTATCTTTTACATCTTAGGCTGGCAGCAGACGGTGCAGCATGACTGCTAGCCATCGGCATCTTCTGGGTGGTTGGCAGAAGATGCTGTATTACGACTCCTAGCCCTCATTGTCAAGACGGTTCAATAAGACTGCCATCAGGACTGAGTCTCCAGGAGACAAAACATGTCTGCCCAGGTGCCTCTGACCGAACTCACTGAGGAATACGACGATGATGAATACCAGTCATAATACACCATCTACTGCCAAAAGGCAAGGAGCTGCTGCTGTGTAGCAATGCAGTACCACATCTGCCGGCACTCAGATGACATATGGTGACGGTGAGCTGAGCTGAGTGGGCTCCATGCTTGCCATGGTATGTTGTCTGCACAGGTAACCCAGGTAAAAAGGTGCAAATCGATTGTCTGCCGTTGCTTTGACGGAGGGGGAGGGGCCTGACGACATGTACCCAGAACCCCCTGCGACACTGTTTTTGCATCATCAGGCATTGGGATCTCAACCCAGAATTCCAATGGGCGGTAGAGACTGCGGGAACTGTGGGATAGCTACCCACAGTGCAAAGCTCCGGAAGTCGATGCTAGCCTCGGTACTGTGGATGCAGTCCGCCGACTTAATGCACTTAGAGCATTTTATGTGGGGACACACACAATCGACTGTATAAAAACCGATTTCTATAAAACCGGCTTCTATAAATTCAACCTAATTTTGTAGTGTAGACATACCCTGAGACACAAAAAAACCCTAATTGAAAAGAACACTATTAGGGTTGCGAAGTCAAGCACTCAAAAGTTAGAAAATGCCAGAGTTAGGGTCGTCTCTGCATCCTTAATTCAGGTTCCTTGTGCCTATGTATTATTATAATGTTCTAATTACATAATCACGTATTATTGTTTCCATAGGACCCCTGCCTCATGCATTGCCCGGGATGGGCAGTACTCAATTGAAGAGTAGCTATTCAATATTTTGGTTTATCCTCATTTTTTAATGTGTGGTCTTTAAGCCTTATTTGCTACACACTTTGCTCAGAAGACAGAATTAACTTCCTCATGGGCTTTTTTATGGCATTCTTCACTTAGTAACAGGGTACAACTACACAGAAAACAATAACTGACTCCATGCATCTGAAGAAGTGAGGCTTTTTATCCACGAAAGCTTATGCTCAAATAAATCTGTTAGTCTTTAAGGTGCCACCGGACTCCTTGTTCTTTTAATAAAACCCTGTGACAGCAGTGAGTCTCAGAGCCCAGGTCAGCTGACTCAAGCTCCCTGGGCTGGTGCTGCGAGGCTAAAAATAGCAATATAGATATTTGGGCTCAATTTGGAGTCTAGGCTCCAAGACACCCCTTCCCCACTGGGTTTCAGAGCCCAGTCTACAGCCTGGACCCAAAAAAACTACACTGCTTTTTTTAGCTCCAAGGTGTGAGCCTGAGTCAGTGGAACCAGCCTTCACTGTATAACTCAGATTCATCCCTAGATAGGGTGACCAGACAGCAAATGTGAAAAATCGGGACAGCGGGTAGGGGGTAATAGGAGCCTATATAAGAAAAACACCCAAAAATCGGGACTGTCCCTATAAAATCAGGACATCTGGTCACCCTATCCCTAGAGCATGATCTGTCCTCGGCATTGAATGAGTCAAAAAAATAGTACACTAGAACCTCAGCGTTACAAACACACCAGGAATGGAGATTGTTCGTAATTCTGAACAAAGCGTTATGATTGTTCTTTCAAAAGTTTACAACTGAACATTGATTTAATACAGCTTTGAAACTTTACTATGCAGAAGAAAAATGCAGCTTTTAACCATCTTAATTTAAATGAAACAAGCACAGAAAGTTTCCTTGTTAAATCTTTTTTTTAATTTCCCTTTTTTAGCAGTTTACATTTAACACAGTACTGTACTGTATTTT